TTCACCACCAATTATTCTGAGATAATTAAGACATTGTATTTTTCTATGATGTGAAATGTTAATTATTTTTAAATCCTAGGAAGAATTTGATGCAAATCAAACTTTGGAGGAAGATTAATTTGAAATGCTATTCATTTCCTGGGATTTATTTAGTCTATTTGTTAGGAATATGTATTATTTAGCTACTTAAATTTGATGGTACAGAATAGTAAAAACTGCTTGGCTTTTTTTTTTTTTTTTACAATTATTGCAATGCATAAATAAAAAAGAAAATGTGTCCAGATTAATATATTTTTTGTTTCAATGTGGATATAAATTATTCACTTAAAATTATTCTTTCAAACTGGTAATATCTTTTCTCTCTCTTTCTTTATTCATCACTGCTCATGCAAATCCATGTGTGAACTTTAGAAAAATGTGTATAAAATATCTAAGAAAAGAAGAATTGACATGGTTCAATGTGGGCTAGACATCTATCCAGATGTCAGTTGTTTAGCAATTCACATCTATCCATCCGTTGCTGCTCTTGATAAAGTTTCTGGTTCGCCAGTGGCATGTACTGAAAATACTAATAAGGCAAACTGATCAATCTCTGTCTGATAATAAGCAAATTTGTGCTCATAGTTACATTCTTTGAATTATCTTGAATTCTAGCATGAAAAGCATAAGGTAAATAAAATACTTTCCTAGTGGTCATTTACATTTGGAAATAATTAGAAAAATTTTTTTCAATATGTAAAACAGCAAGAAATTTACTTCGTTAATACTTTAAACCATGCTGCTAAAGCATGCTTCTTGTTATGCTCTGCCTAACTTTCCACCTAATTTTCCATTTCCTCCCCTCTCTTTTCAGGAAAACAGTTGGTGTTTTCTGTTGTGGACCCAATTCAATTTCCAAGACTCTTCATAAACTGAGTAACCAAAACAACTCATATGGGACAAGATTTGAATACAATAAAGAATCTTTCAGCTGAAAACCTTTCCCATGAACCAGGAGTCTAAAAAAGGAATGAGTGCAATTTCTAAGACTTTGAAACTCAGCTGAATCAAACAGCTGTGGTGTGTCAAAAAGTACCAAGGTTGTCATATTTATGATTATTTAAAATGGAAATACAGACAATGTGGCAAGATGACAGGTCATATTACATGTTTAATCTGGAAACCAAAGAGGCCCTGGAGAATATTTAATGTGATGATTCACTTTTCATTTCTCAAATTAAAAGAAAATTATTAGATGCACACTGTTGATTTTTATGGCAGATTTAAGAACTCCCTAGTGAGGAGCTGAGCTTGCTCACCCTGAGGCTGATAGCCATGGTCCTCTTTAAATTGTTTTTGATTGAACAAAGATGCAAGATTGAACAAAATTAAAAATTCATTGAAACTCAGATTACATTTTCTATGTTGTATATAAACAGAGTAGCTTTAGTTTGGAAAAGCTCCAGACAAATACATTAAATGTTTAAAAATACAGCACAGGACTCTGTATTGATACGGGTAGTTTGTGTTAATATCTAATCTTCCTCACTGCTTGCGCTAACCCTCCATGTGTTGTCTGTAGACGATATGTTGATTGAACTATCTGCAGATGTTAATATAGTATCCGTTTTTATATTTGTCTTTCTTCCTTTTCCTCAAGGGAAATATCCCTCCCTTAGCATGCATTAGACATGATTTAATAGGTCCTTTTCATCTTCCAATTATTTAATCTATTGTTATTGCATAGTAATGAAAATATCATTACTATAAATTATAAAGGGACATATATGCTAATAAGTTTTTTCCCCTTTTTCAGCATTTTGGCTTCTATTTTTTCTCCCACTTTTTCCCAGAAACAGTTTGTTTTAGGTCATAGCCTCTTAAGATGCTTTGTTTAATTTGCACTTTTGAGAACAAAGGGCATCATGTCATCAATAGGCGCTGAGATATAAGATTTCTCTCCCTTGTCATGCATTGGTTTATGATGGAGATGTTGACAATGTAGTCATACTACTGAACAGTAAAACCTGTATTTTACTTTCTATACAAGAGGAAATACTTCATTAGTTATTCAAATTGCAGTTCAGAATCAAGAATATTATTGTTCCACTGTTGGGTATCCTGAGTTTCCATAGGGAATTATGGGGTTTAAAGTCACTGTTGAGACCATGTTGTGGGATCCTATCAGTTTATGTTCCATGCCTATTATATTCTTGGTTCGGAGGAAAAACCCACATTACCACCTTAAGAATTAAGGTATTCATATAATTTAGTGATTTTGTTTAATAGGCATTTATCAATTGCTGTTAAATATAACACATTGCTGAAATCAGCAGTGTGACTTGCCTTGCCACATGTAACATGATAGATGCTACTGTCATTTTTTGCTATGATTCACCAATAGCAATCAAGCATGCTAACCCATCCAGCATTGAATGACCATAAGCATATTTACTTGTTGGTATTTCTTTCTCTCCTTGGAATTCGTTCTTCTCCCTTCCGTGGAAAGAAGGTGAGTCAGAAAAAGTGATGGGAAATGTGCAATTCTCCTGCAGATGTAGCTCTGAAGGTATATTTAATAACCAGCACATCTTGGCAACACTTTCTAGGTTAAAAAGAATTTTCATGAAAACACATAACAGAAAGAACTAGTAAAAAGAAGTTTGAGTTAGTCCAGGCTTAATGTGCAACACTGACATTTTACTGATCGTAATTTATTTATGCAATTATGTTAGTACACCTAATTTCAATAAACAGAAGATTTTTCAAAAAATAAAGATGATATTTCAGAGCAGGTCTGCTATTCTAGGTGAGCCTCCTTGCCTACTTTAAGTTCCAGTAGATGTTCAAAC